CAAGCACCGCCTGACCACGCCGCTCGCTGCCTGTTTAGGCGTCAACACCTGCTACGGGGGCAAGGATGGAGATGAAACCTTTGGCTTCTGTATTGATGCGTACGGGGACCGCTGGACTGGGTCATCGTTGTGCACGCCACAATGCATGGGAAGGCGCAGCACTCAGCAAGGCGGTAGCGCTACCGCCCACGCTAGCGTGGGCAATCCGATCGGCCCAAGCCGCCAGCGATGATCAGCCTACACTCACAGCACTCCTGCTGCCAGAAATGGGGCAGAACTTTGCGTTCACGCGGCACCTGAACGCGCACCCAGATGTGTGCAGCCTGGTGGCTCGCATACCAAAGCGCCACGCCCGGCTGCTGACCCCAGGCAGGGGGGATGCATGGACTTACACTGCAACCGCAACAAAACATGCAATGCTGGTGTACATTGTAGGCAACCAGGCGGGCATGCGCACATACGCTGGCCAACATCAAATGGACCATCTGGCATCCCGCCTCAAGCTGGCAGTGGCCAGCGTGCTGGGACAGCCACAACAGGCAGAAATGGTGGAGGCCCAGGAACCCATGGGCGAACAAGCCCGGCGGCAGGGCCCGCCCGCAGGGCAGCACGCCATGCAAGGAAGGGGCGTGCCGCGCATGAGGCCGGACACCGCAAGGAGGGGAAAACAGCGGCCCGCGCACCTGGGAGAGGGGGACATCCATGCCCTGGAAGCAGCCCTTGACCCGCCCCAGCCCCCGGCGTATGACGCTGACTCCTTGGTCTACACTGATGGGAGCGTGTTGAAGGAGACGGGGCACGGCACCTCTCGCAATAGAGGGGCTGAAGGCAAAACCATTGCCATGGGCGCAGGCGTCCACATCCCCGCCCCGCTGGGGGCGGGGCGGGAAACAACAAGACATAGCAATTGACCCACGGGACCCCGCGCAGCCTGAGAACAACACCATCAACAGAGCAGAACTCAGCGCCATATGGGCAGCAATCATGGCAGGGCACAGCCGCATTGCCAGTGACAGCCTAGGCTGCATTTACCAGATTCACAAAATGTTACACAGGCCGCAGGATCTGGACGGTCATCGGCACCTCACACTCCTCACAGCAATCAGAGATGCCATCGCGAGACGGCCCCCGGAGGCGCCACCGGTAGTACTCCTCAAAGTGCCCGCCCACGTGGGCATCACCGGCAACGAAAGAGCCGACGCCATTGCTACAGGAGTGGCAAAAGAGACCAGAACAGAGAACCTGGCATCGGCGCTGGGAGAGCCAGGACTCACTGTCCCTCCTAGCAATGACCGCCGCGGCCAGTGGTGGTGGTATACATATGAATCGGCAGACGAGTCAGCTCAGCCACAAGGGGCAGGCGGCAAACGCCGCCGTCCCAAGCGGCGCATCCTGGCCAACCTGGCCGAGGCGCTGAAGCGCTTGGCCTGCAACATGCACAAGACGCTGGGGGCCAATCTCAATACGCTGTACATGCGGCTCGAACGCGAGACTGCACCCAGCCTGCACCCGGCAGCCTGGTACTATCTTCAGAAGTGGGGCACTGTGCTGCCACGCGAACTGAGGCTGTGCCTGCGGTGGGGATGCGGACAGGTCCCTACCATGCACAACCTGCACAAGTGGGGAAAGAGCAAAAGCACGGCCTGCCGCCTGTGCGGAGACCCGGACGAGACCGCTGGGCACACCATGCTGGCATGCCCAGCGCTGAGCGCGCAGCACACCTCTTGCCACCACCGTGCGGGGAGGATAATCCTTGCCGCGATAGAGGCTGGCGCGAAGGGCGGCTGCGTTGAGTGTGCAGACCTGGGGTCAGCAGAAAACTGCAAAGAGGTTGGGGTGATGCACCGCCGCACCTTTGACAAGTGCTCCATCCTGACACCCGCACAGAAACGGCGCCTAAAAGATGCAGGCACATACAGCGTTCCCGACACCATCTGCACGTGCCGGCAGCAGGCAGAGGGCTGGCGGAACACATTCATATTGTGGAAATCAAGTACTGCCAGTACTTGATTCCCTGCAGTGCAGGGACACAAACCCAGACCCGACAATTGCAGCGGCCACGGCACAGCACGCCGCACTCGTTGCAGAACTGCAGAAGGCGCGCCGGCAGGTCCACCTCCATGTGATTACACTGGGGGTGGGAGGCGCGATTTACGCAGGCATGATCACGACCGCGGCCGACCTAGGGATACCAAAAGAGAAACACAACACCCTGCTCAAGCACCTCAACCTGCACGCTGTAGAGAGCATGACAGCCGTATGGGGCCGCCGAAAGCACCTGCTGCATGCAAACAACTGCCAGCCGTCGAGGCCGCGTCAAGGGCGCGGCGTCACGTGAAAGTGCCTCCCTTGATCCCCTATGGTGGGGGGTGTGGCTCA